AGGTAGTCCCCATTCAAATAGAACTGGTCTGCGCAATCCCATGAAAGATTTCTCTGATTTTATGTTTGATTTGGCATCCATCTTTTATCTCCATCTAGCACCAGCAGACATTTTCTCTCTGCATCTTGTGACATAAATTTTGGTATTTGATTTTCACCTGAATCATCTTCTTTAATATGCAAATTTAAGGCTATTTAGCCGACGACTGCCTAGGGTTGTAAAACAGGTTATCAAGTATTTGAAAGCCTAGCAGAAACATTTATATTGGAACCTCAAGAGAAGAAGAATTTGCCTCATAGGCATTTAATAGTACAAATTTATGGCTGGGCTGGGCTTTTAAAAAGTCTTATCTGAGACTTACCCTTCTGTAGAACAAAGTTTCATTAAAGTCAATTTAAAATCCTATACAAAATATACATATTCTTGCTGCACTGCATACAAATAACCAGGTTAAGTGTAATAAATCAAATCAGTCCTACTATGATTTGTCTTTAGTAAAAAACTGGAGAGAAAAAAAATTATGTTTTCAAACCTATAGTACATCTGTGTTTAAATTCTAGTCTTTCCCAATATTTTTCAATTTTTGCTATTTTCTACAGTTTGGACTGAATTCTAATTTTTCTTGGCTACAAGTCTGTAAAATAATGTTTTCAATTTTTTTCCTTCTTTTTTTCCATTTTTTTTTTTTCTAATTTGTAGTCAACAAAAACTAAACTGTGCGTTTGTAAATCCCTTTGAACTAAAGCTGGACAACTTAAACCTCAAAAGAAAATAACAGCAACCTATTGCCTATATTGATTTTTCAGGATTGTTCTTTGGTTTGTTGTTGTTTTTCTCCATTCCTCCCCCTATTTTCTCTTCAGAAGAAATGAGACTTCACAATCTGCTAAAAATGAACTTGCCTAATAACTTGGGACCTACCCATCTAGGAATAATAGCCATGAGAGATTAGATGAAACCTGAGACCAGAGACTTAGTTTCTTCTAAAATGCTTTTCCCAAAAGATTTTTTAAAAAAGAAAAGGGGGAAAATGTAAAAGAAGGATAAATCTTGGGGCCACAAAATCACTGAGGTAAAAGAAAAAGTCAGTCTAGGAACTTCTTAAGGCAAACCAGCCTCCCATTCTATTCAAAATCCCACTTCTGCTCACTGAGAAAAATGGGTCTGATTGCCTCCTTTGAAGAGGCTAATCAGAAACTCAAAAGAATGCGAATGTTGGTCTCTTACCTTCCTATAGCCTGGAAACCCTCTCCTGGCTATTTCTGATTTCTCTTCTTCTTCTTTTTTTTTGAGACCGAGTTTTGCTTTTGTTACCCAGACTGGAGAGCAATGGCGCGATCTTGGCTCACGGAAACCTCCGCCTCTTGGGTTCAAGCAATTCTCCTGCCTCAGCCTCCCCAGTAGCTGGGACTACAGGCACACGCCACCATGCCCAGCTAATTTTTTTGTATTTTTAGTAGAGACACGGGTTTCACCATGTTTACCAGGATGGTCTTGATCTCTTGACCGTGATCCACCCACCTCGGCCTCCCAAAGTGCTGGGATTATAGGCGTGAGCCACCGCGCCCGGCCTGATTTCTTTTCTTTAATTGAGAAATAAGAGTTTTATATATTTCTGGTGTACAAAATGATATTTGTATGTGTGTACACATGATTGGATAATTAAATCAAGCTCATTAACGTGTATTCAATGTATTTTATGTGTGTGGTGAGAATAGTTGAAATTTACTCTTTTAGCAATTCTAAAATATACATTACTACTAACCTATCCACCACGCTTGCAACATCTCTCAAAAACATGCTTCTTTTAACTGGAACTTGTATCTTTGACCATGTACCTCCACTCTCTCCCACCCCAGTCTCTCATAACAACCATTCTACTCTCTGCTTGTGTGAGTTCAGCTTTTTAGATTCTGTATATAAATGACATCAGGCAGTATCTGTCTTTCTGTACCTGGATTATTTTATTCAACATAATGTCCTTTAGGTTAATCCATGTTGCCCCAAATAGCAGTTTTGTATTTTTTTAAGGCAGAACAGTATTTCATTATTAATACACACACAGCACACACCATATTTTCTTTGTGTATCTTTCAATGCATAAAAACACAGGTTTTTTCCACATTTTGACTGTTGTAATCAGTGCTGCTGTCAGTTTCACAAGTGAGAGTGCAGTTATCTCTTCACCATTTTAAACCCTTTGTATATATACTCAGAAGTGAGATTCCTGAACTGTATGGTAGTTTTATTTCTGATTTCTGGGGGATCCTCTATCCATTAGAGATGACTCATTTTCATTCCCACCAAGAGTATACATCTTTTCCCTTATTTTTATATCCTGATCAACACTTGTTAACCTTCATCTTATTAATGAAAGAAATTCTTACAAGCATGAGATGATAACTTACTGTGATTTCACTTGCATTTCCCTGACAATTAGTGATGTTGAGCACGTTTTTACATGTCTGCTGGCCGTTTATATCTTTCTTTGAACATATATTCAGGTGTCTTGCCCATTTTTGTTATTTTTATTTTTGCTATTATGTGAGTTCCTTACAGGTTGTGAACACTAACTTCTTAGCAGATGTATACTTTGTAAATATTTTTTCCAGTCCTGAAAGCTGACTCTTACTCTGTCAGTTGCATCCTTGTGCATAAGCTTTGTATTTGAGGTAGTTCCATCTGTCTATTTTTGCTTTTGCCTGTGCTTTTGTGGTCAAATTAAAAAAATCAGTGAATAGACCAGTGTTGTGGAGTTTCCCCTCTCTGTTTTCTTCTTGTCGTTTTGCACTTTCACATCCCACATTTAAGTTTTTAATTCATTTCAAGTCAAATTTTCTATATATTGTAAGATAAGGTTCCAATACTATTATCCTGCATGTGGATATCAAATTCTCCCTATATCCTATTTTAAATAAATTGTTCTTTCCCCATTGAGTGTTCTTAGCACTATTGTCAAAAATCAATTTACAGTCAATTGGTTGGTTTATTTCTGGTTTTGTATCTTGTTGCATTGGTAAGAGTGTATGTTTCTGTGTGGTATCATGTTTGGATGACTGTAGCTTTTCAAAATATTTTGAGAGCAGGTAGTGTGATGTCCGACTTCGGCATTGTTCTTTAGCTCATGATTGTGTTGCCTATTGTGATTTCATATAAATTTTAGGATATTTTTCATTCGTGTGAAAAATGTCAGTGGAATTTTGATAAAGATGGCACTGAATCTCAGGATCACTTTGAGTAGTATAGGCATTTTAATAATTGATATTTGGCCAGGCATGGTGGCTCACGCCTATAATCCCAGCACTTTGGGAGGCCGAGGTGGGTGGATCATGAGGTCAAGAGATCAAGACCATCCTGGTCAACAAGGTGAAACCCCGTCTCTACTAAAAATATAAAAATTAGCTGGGCATGGTGGTGCGTGCCTGTAGTCCCAGCTACTCAGGAGGCTGGGGCAGGAGAATTGCCTGAACCCAGGAGGCGGAGGTTGCGGTGAGCCGAGATCGTGCCATTGCACTCCAGCCTGGGTAACAAGAGCAAACTCTGTCTCAATTAAAAAAAAACTGATATTTATTCCAATGCACGAATAGGAGAAATCTTTCCACTTAGTGGTGCTAATATTTCTTTTATTAGTATAATTTTCAATGTACAGATTTTTTACTTCTTTGATTAAATTGAAAGCTGTCTTAATTTTTAAAAATAACTATTGTATATGAAATTGTTTTATTGATTTGTTTTCAGATGGTTTACTGAAAATATGTTGAAAAGCTACTAATTTTTATGTCAGTTTTGTATTTTTTTGGTGCACTTAAGTTTTCCTAAATATATTGCCATGTCTTCCGTAAACAAGGACAATTTTACTCTATTTTTCCTAATTGGGTGTCTTTTATTTCTTTCTCTCACCTAATTTCTCTGGCTAGCTTTGTTAGTACTAAGTTGAAATAGAAGAGATCAGAGCAGACCTCTATGTCTTGTTCCTGACCTTAGATATAAACATTTGACATTTTCACCATTAACTATGATGTTAGCTGTGGGCATGTCATATATAATCTTTATTGTGTTGAAATGAACTTTTTTGTAATTCAACGAATTATAAGGATATTTAATTTTGTCAAATATTTTTTCTGCATCTATTGATGTGATCATTTGGTTTTGTTTACATTCTGTTAATGTGGTCTATCCCTGGGATGCAGGTATTCAGCCATCCTTGCATCCAAGGGATAAATCTCTCATAATCAGTGAATGATTCTCTCAGTGTGCTTTTAAATTCTGCTTGCTAATTTTTTGTTGAACATTTTTACATGTATGCTCCTGAGGGTTACTGACCTATAATTTTTTTCATGTAAAGTTTTCTTTCTGGCTTTAATATCAGAGTAATTATAAAATCAGTTTGGGAGTATTTCCTCCTCTTCAATTTTTGGACTGTTTGAGAAAGTTTGCTATTATACTGTATTACTTTATGAACTTGTTCAAAAATATTAAAATGCTAAACAATTATTGTAAAATACATTCCAGGAAGTGTAGGAGGCAAAAAGAATCAGACAGCGTCATTAAAGCAGAAACCAAGCAATCCACCAGATCTCCCTTAGAAGAACATTCTTATGGAATCTCTAGACAAGAGACCATGAGGCTTCATGCAACTTCCTTCCGTGCAGATGGATTTATAGTAGCCTCATACTAGAGAGCGCTTTCATGTCTGTGAAACTAGTAGACATACTATGCAGTAGGCTCATATTATAAAGAGCTTTCATGTCTCTTCGCTGCTCTCCTAGAGCATGCCCTAAGATTCAACTGCAATAAATTAAATGTGTTAATAAAAAACAATCTTCCAAAATTAGCTACAGTGAAGAAATTATGCAAAAAAATTAGATAACGTATAAAATGCTTATCAATTTGAATAAAAACACTAACAGATCAGTAGTACATAGAAACAGAAAAGGGGATTGGAAAGGCATTTTAAATGTATGACCATAGTGCCTCAAGTACCAGAGCAGTGCCCCATGTTTACCCCAGTCCCGGGGCTGGGCAGTAGCAAAGCTGGGAGCCCAGTGCAGCTATCTGACTCCCAGAGCACATACTCAGCCCAAATTTCACTGTGCCCAGAGGCTCTCTACCCCTGCTACCTGTGCCTCACCATATAATGGCCTGTTTTTTCTGACCTTTAGAATGTTGTTAGCCTACTAGGTTAGGGGCTGCAACCGTCAGGACACAGAGGCAGCTGTGAGGCCATCAGGGGCCACACTACATGTTCCCTCCCATTTCCTGCCTTGGTGGAATCCTGCAGCCCCAGTGGTCACCATTGCAACAGGACATGACACAGATCAGGGCACCATGGTGACAAGTTCTCTGCAGCTGGCCACAAGAGAGCCTCTGCCTCTGTCCCTTTGCTAAGCCCTCACCTTTCCTCCTCACTGATCTGCTCCACTGAATGGAGCCAGGCCAGAAATTGCTCCTCAGACTGAAGGTGATAGTTTTCTGCAGCCATCTGAAATAATTTAAATAAATTGTTCTTTCCCCATTGTGTGTTCTTGGCACCATTGTCTCAGAGAGGACAGTGTCCTCCTAGAGGTAGAGAGAGGAAAAGGCGCTGATAGGGCATGAGTGGAAGATGCCGGAGGGGTCCTGGGGATGGAGGGAGCAGGGGCCAATCTCTGGGGCTGTTTTCCTGAGGGTGTCATTCTCCCCTGCAATCCTATGCAGCCCCAGCCTGTTCTCAGAGTTGGAGGCAAATAGCCCCTTCTCCAGGAATTGGTCCTTGACACCAGTCTCCTTCTCCTCTGAGTGTCAAAACCTTCCAATAAATCTAAGATGCAGAGGATGGAGCCCGGGGTGTCCCTAGGATGTTTCCATGGATGGTCTCTATGTCCACGTCTCCATCCTCTCCCACCATGAGACCCCCAGCTGCTCACCCTCCTGTTTTTCTCATTGCTAGTCACCTCCTGACCCACAAGGAGCCCCGTCTAGCCCCACCCCATGCTGCACCACTGCCAGAGCAACTGGAGCCAGGGCATGTGCACATGACAGGACTTGGACCTGCACTAGGCTTTGGTCTCTAGACGAGGGGTCATGGATGCTGAGGCTCTGGGACCTTTCACCCAGCCCTGTTGTATGACAGAAAAACTGGGACCATGTGTAGAAAGCAAGTGCTCAGCTACACAGGAACAGTCTGCCCTTGGAGGGGCCCAGTTTCAATCTTTCATGGGTGCTACCCAAAAGGAAGGCTGAGGTCAGCTCAGCCCACACCTCATGCAGCTTTGCAGTCAGGCAGCCCCTCAGTGTCATCACTCAGGGACAGGGTCTGACAGCTGCTGTGGAGCCTCCATCACTCAAAGACGCCTTGGGGCTGATGTCTCCCTTCACTGGCCCAGATGCGAGGCTCTCAGGAGAAGTTGTTTTCCGAGTGAGGCCTGAGATTTAAGGGCTCAGTCCAGGGCCCTCTCCTCCCAAGCCTCAGGATCCTGGTTTCCGCTGCACCACTCCCAGGCTCATTCATATCCACATAGTCCTTCAGGGGGCAGTGTCCAGCATTACCAAGTCACTGAAGAAGGTCCCCAGGAAGGGGACCACAGCCTGTGCCATTAAAAGAGGAGGTTAGTGGTTATGAGTGCCCCCAGGTACCCGCCCAAGGCCCTATCCTATGAAATCCCAACAACCCCTGTCCTCCAGGGCCCCCTCCCCAGGTCTCCCACTTGGAGCAGCCAAAGGCCCTCAGCTCCCTCTCCCAGTTATCTCCTTTCTCTCCTCCAGCTGGCCCCCAAGGCCACCAAGCATCACCTAGTAATGTTTATGGTGGGATTTTACCAAGACACAAGGGTATATGGTCCTTAGCCCCACCCTTCCCCATGTCCACTCTGAGCCTAGCTGTCCCAGGTTCTTGCTCTTGTCTGTCTAATGGTGGTGTTTTTGGCCCTGTGGCCACAGCAGGACAGGGCTGGGGAGGAAGCCCCCGCTCTCCTTAGTGTGGAGGCCTTCAGATGAAAGGGCGAAGCCCTGTTTTCTGACCACTTCCACCTCCTCCCTGCCACAGGCTCACTTACCTCTGTCTTTGCACCTCATCAGGCATTTTCTCTCCTGGGTGGCCAACTTAGGGATCCCCATCTGCAAGGTTAAGGGCCCAGCCAGTGAGGTGCTCCTCCCCTTCCCCAGTTACACCCTAACTGCACTGCCCTCAGCCTTGGGGCACTGGGCCCCCAGGAGAGAGGCTAGCTCCTCCTGCACCTGGAGGCCCTGTCCCAGCTGCCTTCACCCCACACCCCAGCACCACCACCCATCAGCCCATCAGAGTCGTGTTCTCTGGAATCTCTTGAGTGTCCACATCTCCAGCCAAGCAGCCATAGCGGGAAGGGGACAGGGTACCCTGGGAGACCTGTTTGAATGGCACTGCCTGTCTCAGCCCACTGGAATTTCTGCCCCATAAACTGCATTTGAGGCCACACTTTACCTCCCCAGTGATCTCCCAGAGGAATGTCCTGCACAAAACTCTCTCTTCATCCACTCAGGAACTGGTCTCCCAAGGCACCATCTCTGGCTGACAAGGCAGCGTCTTTTCTCAGAAAAGGAAGCCCTTGTGTCCTTTATTCCAGTCACCCACACACACCCTCCATTGGAATGGTTCTCCTCTGTGCATCAAGCCCTCCCAATAAATTAAAGACAAAGAGGATGGAGCCAGGGTGGAAGCTCATGCTGTCCCCTGGCCCCATCCCCATTACTCTGAGCAGCTGTGTGCTTACAGTTAGATTTCAGTTGGCACAGAGTTCCATTGCTGTGTACAAACACCTGAAAGCCTCCAGTCAGCTCCAACCTGTTCCTGATGGTTAAAAAACCCAAGTCCTGAGTTAGAAATTTTGGTCTAGAATTCTAGGACAGCTTAGAACCCCCGCCCCCATCAGCCTTTCCCTGTCTCCACTGTCTCTGAACTCCCAGAACCTCCCAGGATCCCTGAGGGTGCATGGCGAGATCTTTAGGGTCCATGGTCCACCCTGGTACTCCTATGGGGAGGATTTTAGTTCAACCTTCCCATCTGGACACTTTACCCCATGTCATCCTGAGCCGATGGGTCAGGGTGCTCTTCAGAGCAGAGAGGATGGCATGGAGCGAGGAGAAGATCCTGAGGCTGAGGCACTCCTGGGGAGGGAAGAGAATGAGCCATGAGGTCTGGAGTTGGAGCCCTGCCTGGTCCAGCCTCAGCCCCCTCTGCTGACCTCTCCCCTCCTGTATGAAGCTAAGGCCCAAGGAGCCACAGGAGGGAACCCCTGAGGCCCATTCAGGGACACACAGAGGAGGATTTTAGTGCAACCCATGGAGGAGCCCAGGTAGGAAGCAAGCAGCCCCCCTGGGGCCATGGGAGTTAAGGTCAAAGAACCACTGGCAGAAAGGGCCAAGGGGATGTGCAGGGCTTAGACCACAGAGGCCAACCCGGGGAGCAGAGAGAGAAGAGCCAGTTCCCATGTGCCCAGAGAGGGAATTGCCAGACACTCCTCTGGCTTACCCTGACCATCTTAATCCAGTGTTCCACCACCCTGGCCCTGGCCCTCAGGCTGTGTTCCCTGAGGCAGGAGCTGGTGACACAGCTGGTTGCACTGTGAACCTGGGTGGTGGTGGCACAGACAGAGGATGCCTTGTGATCCTCAGCCTTTCTGTTTTGCTATGCCCAGATGGAGCTCAGGCATTTTTAGGGCACCACATTCTTGAGGAAGCTCCTGAGGAGGGGTATAGTGTCACGGACACAGGACAGTCCAACTCAAGAGTCCACAGTCACAACATCAAGTGTTTTGGCAGAGTAAGGACCTTATCCACTGGCTATGGAAATGTGCACTGTTACAACTGCTTTTGAAAATTGTGGGCATCATATGGTAAATGTAAAGAAACCAAGTGCCCACCAACAGACACAGACAAAAGCATTGTGACATGTTTATTGTATAGAGAGTAATGCAACGAAGATAATATACTCACTTGTTAACCACAAGCAGAAACATGGGTGAATCTCACAAATAATGTCGAGCAGAAGAACTGAGACAAAAACGATTGTAGCAAGCTGTAGGATTCAGTTTACAGAAAACCACTAGTTACATTAAATTTTATATTTTTGGACATGCATGCACAGTTCGTAAAGCTTCAGAAAAGCAAGCGATTACAGTAAGTTCTGAGTGATGTGGTCTGCGAACATGATGCGCTCAGGGAAGAATTCCTTGCTTTTCTTGGTTGAAGTTACATTGTTTCCTGTCATTAGCGGTAGCGCCAAAGCTGTTCACTCCCTGTCATTAGTTAAACTACAAAGAGAATGAAATGGTTTGAGAAAGCTGGATAGTTTCAGTCTAAACTGTGGAATACATTTGATATAAATGAAACCAACAAAAGTTTATTAACTTACACTCTAAGTGTCTTAATATAGCCACTCAGGACCATTCTGACTTCAGTTCATTTCTCCTCATTTTATGTTTCTCCAAAGCATTCATTATCTAATATGAAAGAACTTCAAAAGCTGTATAGAAAGATGGAATGGAAACATAAAAACAAAAAAATATATAAATTTCATTTTTCATTTTTTTTTTTTTATGAGACGGAGTTTCACTGTCGTTGCCCAGACTGGAGTGCAATGGCATGATCTCGGCTCACTGCAACCTCCGCCTCCTGGGTTCAAGCAATTCTCCTGCCTCAGCCTCTTGAGTAACTGGGACTACAGGCGCACACCACCATGCCCAGATAATTTTTGTATTTATAGTAGAGATGGGGTTTCACCTTGTTGACCAGGATGGTCTCGATCTCTTGACCTCATGATCCACCCGCCTCGGCCTCCCAAAGTGCTGGGATTATAGGCGTGAACCACCGCGCCTGGCCCTAAACTTCATTTTTCAACATAAGCTTCATCAAGGTCAAAACACATTTGAAATTAATGATGCCAGCCACTTACTCCATCCCTAAGAACTGGAAATTTAACCATGTCAATGCAGTCTTTTTTGCATTCTTAAATTAAGACAAATGAATGTCTTGTATAGATTTTTTTTTCATGATTAAGAAACAAAAAGAAATCAGAAGGAGCCAAATAAGGACTCTAAGGTGGGCGCCTAATGATTTCTCATTGAAATTCTTGCAAAATTTCTCTTGTTTGATAAGAGGAATGAGTGGGAGCATTCTCAGGAAGGAGAAGGACTCTCTGGTGAAGATTTCTTGGGAGATTTTCTGTGAAATATTGGCTAACTTTCTCGAAACACTCTTATAATAGGTAGGTGTTATTGTTCTTTGCCTCTCTAGAAAGTTAAAAAGCAAAATGCCTTGCACATCCCAAAATGTTCTCATGACTTTCGCTCTTGACTGGTCTGATTTGCTTTGATTGGCCTTCTTCCACCTCTCAGTAGCTATTTCATTGATTGTATTTTGTCTTTAGGGTCATACTGGTAAAGCCAGGTTTCATCTGCCGGAACAGTTCTTCAAGAAACACTTCAGGATCTTGATCCTACTTGTTTACAGTTTCCACTGAAGCTCTGGTCTTGTCTGCAGCTGATCTGGGTGCAAGGGTTTGGATGCCCATCAAAGGGAAGTTTGGCTCAACTTAAATTTTTCGATCAAAATTTTGTAATCTGAATCAGTTCAGATGTCTGTGTTGTTGGCTAGCATTTCTGCCATTAATCTTCAGTCCTCTTCAATTAGGGCACTAATAAGATAAATTTTTTCTCATAAATGGATGTGCGTGGGCTTCCACTGTGGACTTCATCTTCAGCACGGCCTTGTTCTTACCTAAAACAAAATTCTGACTTCGGACAGTGCATTTATTCTCATTTTACTTTTTCAAAACCATTCATTACCCAACATAAGAGAACTTCCATAACTTTTGGTAAAGCATTAGTGATTTCATTTTTCTTCCACCCAATCATCAACAGAAATTACTGATTTCCCTGGGTCATTGCTATCATAATCTTTTCCCAAAGCATCAATAATTTTACTATTCTTCCTCTGAGGCATCAAAATAAATTATGTTTTGCTATTTTAGCAGAATTTCTGTTGCTCTGATAAGGGCTGTTTCTAAATTGATATCCTTGTAGACCTTGTTCAGATATGTTATAGCAAATTAATATGAGTTTATTTTGGTGCAGAAATGAAATCCACGCATAGCTCTTTCATAATATGCATTTTCCATGAACTTTGTGAAGTCTCTCCCTATATTCTATGTCAAGGATGTGTTGTTGCTACTGGAATGTGTGCTCTCTGAAAGCAAGTGAGCTCTTGTATGTGATCTGGCACTTACACAGGTTCATCACAGGTTTCTGTTGTGGAACTTGAAAGAATTATGAATATAAAGTCAAATGATCCATTCAAAAAGACAGTGGGGGCTGCGCACAGTGGCTCAGACCTGGAATCCCAGCACTTTGGATTCACCTGAGGTCAGTTCAAGACCTGCCTGGTCAACATAGTGAAACACTGTTTCTACTAAAAATACAAAAATTAGCCAGGTGTGGTAGTGCATGCCTTTAGTCCCAGCTACTTGAGCAGGGAGGGGATGTTGAGAAAGGAGAATTGCTTGAACCCAGGAGGCAGAGGCTGCATTGGGCTGAGATCATGCCATTAATTGCACTCCAGCCTGGGTGACCGCAAAACTGTCTGAAAAAAATAAATAAATAAAAATAAAACAAAACAAAAAAAGAAAATGAGGGAATAAAAATGTCTCATATGCATTAAAAAGTAACATTGTGTTTCAGGAATGCCAATTCAGAGCACAGTGTAGCCTATTCAACAACTGTCACTCTTTTACAACCTAGTACATAAACACTTATATCTGTTCACTTTTTTGGGTCTTCATTTTTCTTGTAAGAGTGCCCATCAATATGTGAATGAAATATCAATGCTTTTCTTTTTTTTAATATAACTTTTCTTTGTAAGAGACAGGGTCTCATTCTGCTGCTTGGGCGGGAGTGTAGTGGCAATATCATTGGCGGCCCTGATTGCTGGGGCCATGAGAGTGTGAGCCAGCCTCTGGGGCATCTGCTTGCTTGCTGGGTGGTAGAACCGGGGGAGCAGTGCCCTGGCTGAAAGCAATGCACATGGGAGCAGTCAGGATGCAAGCTGATGGTAGCTGCAAGCTGCTTGGCTTGCGTAGTAGTTCCCTGGCCCACGAGACGAACCCCAGCTCCTATCCCAGAAGTACACAGTAGATGCTCCATGAACTCTTGGGCCGGGAACATGTGGGACAGTCATGGGATGGGAAAGAATGGGAGAGTGTGTGACTGCAGCACCGGGGACTGAACCAAGGGCTTTCGGTACCCTGAGGTCTTGGCCCTCTCCTATGGAGTTGGGGAGATGGGAGGAACCACCTGTTGCATGGCCATCCCTACCTGGCAGGCATTTGGCAGCCCATTTAAATCCTCCTGAAATGATTTCTGGTCAGGGCGTGGTGGCTCATGACTGTAATTCCACTTTGGGAGGATAAAGTAGGCAGATCACGAGGTCAAGAGATCACGATCATTCTGGCCGACATGGTGAATACCCATCTCTACTAAAAACACAAAAATTAGCTGGTCGTGGTGGCACAGGCCTGTAGTCCCATCTACTCAGGCTAAGGCAGGAGAATCGATTGAACTTGGGAAGTGGAAGTTGCCACTGCACTCCAGCCTGGCGACAGAGCAAGATTTTGTCTCCAA